TTTTTTTTTTTTTTTTTTCTTATTTTGTTTAAAATAGTTATTTATCATCTGATAATTTTAATAAAGAATTAGAACAATTTGTTAATGAACAACAAATTCAAGTTTTTCATTACAGAATTGATGGCAATAAAGTATTTAATCGTTTTTTTTTACTTAAATGTCTTTTTTTTTTCTTTATAGGAAAATATTTTTTTTTTAAAAAAAAAAATATATTTAATGTAGGAACCTTTCATGGAAATTGAACAAAAAGATATAAGTAGTGCATTAGTTAAAGTATTAGATGTTCGAAATCATCCAGGTAATTTTGTATATTTACAATTCTAAACAAATTTTTTTTTAATTCTTAAGATTAATTTAACTTCTCTTTCTTTTAGTATTGATTCATTGTAATAAGGGAAAGGTAAATTTTCTTTTTTTTTAAAATTATAATAATATATAACAACAATAATAATAATAATATGTTTGTTTATACATGTAAAAAAAATAGCATAGAATAGGATGTTTAATAGGATGTCTTCGTAAATTACAAAAATGGTCAATGACCTCAATATTTGATGAATATCGTAGATTCGCAGGATCAAAAGTATTGGCTGATCAAGAGGTATTTAATTAGTTTATTAATTTTTAATTAAAAAAAATTAAATTTATATTAAATTGACTTGGATAATTTTTTTTTGTAGTTTATTGAAATATTTTCTGAACATGTTCCATATGATCCAGAATATAAACCTGGTTGGTTATGATTTAAATAAGTAATGAATTAGTTCTAAAAAAAAAACATCAATTGAGTAAATTATTAATTCCTTAAGATAAATTTATTTTATTGTAACAAAGAAGAGAAAAATTTTAAATGTTTATTAAATAATATTGATGTTTTAATGGGAATTCTTAATAATAAATTACAACATTACAATAACTTAACATTTGATAAACATAAATCAAGAAGTATTAGTTTTATTAGTCTATTAATAAAATACTTTTAATATATAATCTTAAATAAATAATTATTTTTTGTGATATACAGTATCTTAATATACTGATTAAAGTGCCCACCATTTTTCAGTGCATGAATACCAATCTGTATCTAATATTTAAATAATAAGTAATAATTAGTAAAAATAAATAAATAAATAAAAATAATTATAAATAAAAAATTTCTTTTACCAAAAGATTTATTAGGATTACAATGACATCTTCCACTTTCATGAAATTCTTTATCAATGGGACAATGTTGATAAGGTGGATGAGAATATGAAATATCATTAAAGAAGTGAATTTTAGATTTATTCACAAATAATGCCAATCCAAGTGAATGAACTGGTGCATCACCCCATCTCTCATAAAAAAATCCACCTTCTTTATCTAAATATTCAAAATATTTGATATATTGTTCACTTCTCCAAAAATTTAAATTTGCAATTTCAAAATTACTCCAAAAATGACATAAATTATAATTATTTTCATCATTTGTAACCCATTTTAAAGAATTATCATCATTAATATAATGAGGATATTCTTTCATAAATTTTTTTGTAGTATTCCAAAGTGTTGGTATAGTATCTTCAAATTCATATAATGATATAGTAAAACCATAATATAAATCATTCTTTTTCATAAATAAAAATGGGTCATAATCAATATCACACATAAATTCTACTGAAGGTTCTAACCTCCAATAATAATCATAATCAAGTAAAGCAGGATGTCTAAAAAAGAATCCTGAATTAAATCTACACATATGTCTATATGATTCCGATCCACCATAAATTACATGATCTTGTTCTGCTTTTTTTCGATTTTCAGCAGCTTTTGTTTGATTTATCCAACTTGGATAACTCCACATTTCTTTCGGTATCACAGCTAAGATATTATGTAAAAAAAAAAGAGGAAAGGAAAAAGTGAGAAATAGAGATATAAAAACGCATATATAATAAATATATGTAATATATGTATGTATGTATGTAAAAAAAAAAAAATAATAATACCATATTTTGTTTCAGATTGAGTGATTGAACTTGTTTGATTTATAAATGCTTCAGAAAATTCTACATCGTTTAAAAATACATAAGGATAATTAAATTTTTTATTCCATCTTTCTTCAAATTGTCTCATAGAAGATTTTAATTGATATAATTCATTATTTCTTGCTAATACAACTATACATGCGTTTACTTTATTTGTTTTTATACGAGAATTCATTAATAAATCGATATCCTTATAAGGATCATTATATTTATATTTAAAAAAATCATCACGAATAGTTGGTTTAAAACAATTATATAAAATTAATAAACTTGATAATATTAATGATAATATTAAAAATCGAATTATTGGACGTGATAATGATATTCGATATTCATAATATTTGATATGGATACACATTATGTTTTTTTTTTATTATTAAGAGACTTGAGGAATAAAATAAAAAAAAAAAATTTTTTTTTTTTTTAGAGATATTATAAAAAAAAAAAAAAAAAAAAAAAAAAAAGACGAGAAAAAAAATAAAATAAAATAAAAAATAAAAAAATTTTATTCTCTCTTCGCTATTTTAGGTATGCGGGCTTTGTGTAACAATATTGCTCAACCTGAGCTACCATATTATAGTCAAACTCGATATTATAACTTATAAGGTATCTTTAAAATATTAAAAATATGTGTATTATATGTTCTCTCATAATAGAAATAAAATTTTAAATATATTTAATATATCAGATATCGGTTACGGGGACTATCGGCCCTTCAAGTGATATTATTTTACCAATATATACTTATTGGGCATAAAATTCGAAAATTTATCGTCTAGTTTGAAAATGAATTTACTATAAAAGCATAAAAGAAAATATATTAACGCCAGACAAAAGTTAATTATCCCCTGATCGTCCACTATTTACACAATTATGCGATCACTTATACCCCCGAATTTCGCATAAAATTGTGTAGATAAAGCAGTTATATCAATGTGGGGTGTGGGGGTGTGGTTATTTTTGATAAAAAATCAAAAAAGACTTATTTATGATCATGTGATATAAGTATTTTTAAGCCTTCAATTCGGAGGTCCCGATATATATAAGACTTGTTATATAAGGTTTCGGGACGAATAATGAAAGGAAGGTGCAAAAATTTGATATGAGCAACCTATAGCACAGTTGAATATTATTACTTTATTGTTTGTTGTATACATTATTACAAATTACAATAAAAATGTTTGTCATTATTAATAATTTTTTATCTTATGAAAATAAATCAGTTTCATATTATTTATTTATTTATTATTTCAAAATTATACAAAATTAATCCATGATTAAATAATTCTGGTCAAAAAATGTAGACAATTACTCTAAAATTACACAAAACTATCTCAAACTATTTTATTGTTTCTAAATATGATAAGATTATGAAATATATTTTTTGAAATGATAATCCTCTATTCACTTAAAGCCACAAAATATATTGTTTTGATATTGTTTTACTTTTTATAGAATTATGGAAAAAAAAAAAAACGCCTCATTTATATAATTTTGATAAACAATAACAATTTTGCAACATAATGTTATTTTTTATTATTCATCAAGAAACCTTTTAATAAAATAATAAAATAATAATAATAATAAAAAAAAATTATAATAATAATAAAAAAAAAAAAAAAAAAAAAAAAAA